TTGTTATTTAAATGCATTTTTTTTTTAAAGGATTTGCCTTTATATGGAGGGTTTGAAATTTGTATTTATGGTTTTTATTTATTTCTGAATTAATCATTTAATTCCAGACTTGCCATGAAGTGAACTACCTGTAATGATGTAACAGATCGTTACGTACGATCACACAATTGTGCTAATCTGATTGTTATATAGGTAATCTGAAATGTGAATCAAATTTTCTAGTTAACTCATTCCCTACATTTTTAAACTGGACTTGCCATTCTTTGATTTGGTAAGGTTCAAATGTGACTTTAGGGGTAAATGGGTTAAGTAAATTCAGAATTAAATGCAAACGCTTGATTCACTGATTCAGCAAATTTAAACTGTACATTCAGTTTTCCTGATGGAGGGAGCCTGGGAGATTTAAGTACACACATGTTACACACTGGGTGAATGTTTTATGAATAAAAGCTATCATTGATTTGAAATAGTTACAACATGGTGCTAGATTAAAGAATCCATCATTTAAAACTGAGTAGCTTTTGATAGCGAATGGTCTGTCAAACTGTTACCTACTTAGCATGACATCTAATAAAACTAGGTCACTATCATTGTTCTTTTTACAATCATTTCACACACACAATACCTAAGAAATGCCTGCTAAATAGTTTTCATAGTACATGTAAATCAAAGCATTTTGTTATGACTAGAATGATTGGTTTTATGGATTAATGAACCAAAATTAATAATTTGAGGTACACTTTACTGAGAATGAAACCTATATATAGGCTGGTTATAACTACTCGTAACTATGGTTATATTAATGATGTGCATTGATTAGGTTGACTTTCAAACATCAGCTGCAGGGAATTTCCCTTTATATTAGCTTAGCAGTAGAACATCAGGCTGGAGAGCCAAGGGTCGCGGGTTCAAGCCCCAGAGACAGCACTATCTTTATACCTTTTCCTCGTCCTACTACAAACTAGTGCCATTGACCCTCTCCGTTGAAGGAAGGTGAATCCTTGGCAGAAAGTCAAAGAACCTGGGTTGGTGTTTGAAAAAAGGGGGAATAGTGTAAAAGATGTGGATTAATTAGGTTGCCTTAAAAGCGTCAGTTGTATGGAATTTCCTTTCAGCTCAGCGGTAGAGTATCAGGCTGGCGAGCCAAGGGTTGCAGGTTCAAACCCCAGCGATGGCACTATCTTTCTCACTATATATTCCTTGTCCTACTACAGTTATATGTTCCACTCTGAACATATGGCATGTTGTTAGCTTACCAGATAAGTATTTATGTAACACAGCATTATTGGGGTATATCCAAAATCTACATTTCTTTTGACATAACATAAGATTATAACCTGGCCTACATTTAGCCATGTTTACCTGGGGAAGTGTGCAGGATCCTGTACACTTGACAGGTAGATCATGTTTAACTATCAGCACCCCAATGAATGTTCACAATGGTCACTTGATGTATTGAAAAAAGGCAGTCGTAAATCAACACTAGATATTACATCAGACCTTGAGTTACATAGTGGGGATATGAAATAAATTGTGTTTCTGTCAGGAGGTAGTGGTATAAATACATTACTTTGTGTCAGGAGGTGGGGTACAAGTACATTACTTTGTGTCAGGAGGTAGGGATACAAGTACATTACTTTGTGTCAGGAGGTAGTGGTATAAATACATTACTTTGTGTCAGGAGGTAGTGGTATAAATACATTACTTTGTGTCAGGAGGTAGTGGTATAAATACATTACTTTTGTGTCAGGAGGTAGGGGTACAAATACATTACTTTGTGTCAGGAGGTAGGGGTACAAATACATTACTTTGTGTCAGGAGGTAGGGATACAAGTACATTACTTTGTGTCAGGAGGTAGAGATACAAGTACATTACTTTGTGTCAGGAGGTAGGGGTACAAATACATTACTTTGTGTCAGGAGGTAG